AATTGAACAAATTCTACAATATAAAAGTGGCAGATTTGCTTTATTAAACAGACCAGACCTAGGTTGCATACCAACACAATTAGGAACATGCTCACATCTTACTATGTTGGTCTGAAGAGCTGAAGCATTCATACACAATGGATAAAAACTGTGTTGTCTCATTCTATATCCTGTGAGAAAATGATATACATTTAGCATTAAAAATTCGACATAGCCTACTATTCCTAGCCTGAGGAAGATATTAATAATCAACAGATTTGAATGGAATCTCTACAGGGTTCCTACGGTCATTAAAAACCTGGAAAAGTCATGGAAATTCAAAATGCAAATTCCAGGTCCTGGAAAAGTTATGGAAAACAATATTTTTCCCAAAGTTTTGGAAAAGTCATGGAAATGTAACCAAAGTTGCATCAAATATAATTTATATTTCATCTAATCGCCGAAATAGTAATACTATAACGATAATAAATACTGTATCGTATAGTAATGAAACGTAAAATGGCATTTAACTGTCGAGGTGTTTTGCTGGTGAGAGATTTTTACAATCACACCCTCTAGTCTACAGTGGCTTTAGTCTGTAGGAGCTAGTAAGCCTACTATTTGATTTGTTTTAGATAGGCACAACATGTTTCATATGCAGACCTTATTTTCCAGCTTACCATGTTAAAATAAAAATGTTTCAGTGGTACCGCTGAGAAAGAGTACTTTTTTTGGTCATGGAAAATGAGGTAAAGGTCCTGGAGAAGTCATGGAAAATCATTGGTGAAAAAGTGTATGAACCCTGTCTCTAACATTTTCATGTAGAATAAAGACAAAAGAGTGATTATACAAATTACATTTATTGAAATTTGAACCAGAAGATGAAGTCTCAAAGAATGTTTTAAATAAAAGGACATAAAACAAAAAGGTGGATAATAATAACATCTATTAAATGTATATGTAAAGAAATGTGGTCAAATGAAATGACACTGAGCCAGTGATAACAGCAATGCCAGCGTGGATTAAGATGGTGCAGGTCTCTCTTCATGCCCCCCCTCCGTGCTGTCCCCTCAGAGGAAGTGGGAAAACAGGATAAGACCTCTGGACACCACGCTGTCTCAATGATCCACACTGTTAATATGAGGAAAATAAATGTTTTAGGAAATGAAAAAAATGAAGTTAACAAATAAAACACAGCTCAGGGGCATCATGGACGGTAGGTTTTCCTACAAAGTTAACTCAGCCTCCATTGATTTTCATATCAAATTAGCGTGTTAAAAAAATAAGCTATCATGGCTTATACTTGCATATCTAAACAGAATCATGAAAGCCTGTTGGTAGAGTCAGACAGGCACACAAGTCCGTTTGAGTGTGTGCGCCGGTGTCTGAACGCTCACTCACTCACTGCTCGCTTTGTAGCTAACTGTCCCTGCTATTAGGCTACTAGCTTGCATTGTTATGGATCTAAAGTTAGCAAAAGCTAACTTTCATAACACAGCTTTTCTTTACTTCTCACTTAACTAACACAATAAAGAAACAGACCGTATAGTACAGCACAAACAACACAAATGATCAATACTTACATATATTTTCACTTGTAGTATTATAATAATTGAAATGCTGGTTCTTCTGGGGGTCTTCTGTCCACGCTCAGCTACCGCACCGCAGCTGCCTGCACTGTACAATCGCTGGAGGACTGGGCTGTAAAGGCCCAGACACACCAGGCCGAAATCGGCCGTCTTCGTTAGTCGGACGACGAAGCGTGCCCTGTCGCACAAACTCAATTTGGTGTGTCCCGAACCGTTGGCCGTGACACGCCTTATTTGGCCTTTCACGGTCGACGCACGGCCGATTCAACATGTTGAATCGGCCGTGTGTCGGACACAAGCAGTCGGACCAAGAAACCACTCTGATTGGCTGTTCAGCTAGCGAATGAGAAGCGAAACGGAAGTGAGGGACGTAAACAAACGATTTAAGAAGGCACACACACAGAAGGCTATTCATTTTCATCTCATCGGTTTATTTGTCACCATGGCGATCTGGAATGAAGGAATCGAAGACCTGCTCATCACCTTGATCCAGGAGAGGCCAGCTCTGTACGACATTACAGAGACAAAGTACTCAAACCGAGTAGTGAAAACCGGACTCTGGCGAGAGATTGAATCTCAACTTGGTTTCTCAGGTAAGAATCTCTTTTTTCATCAATTGAGCTCTTTAGCAGAAACTGTTGGTTTTTTATTGTTTGCCAGCGTATGTGAAATGTAATTTGTTATTTCAACCTTGTGTTTTGTTGTTATCTTGTTGCTAGCTGTTGCTACTTGTTTGGCACTGCATATAGATATGATTTGAACATGCTAACTAGCCACAATGCTTACATCGTTTATTTGTGTGCTTCAGAGAAAGAGCTGAGGAAGAAGTGGGATTCTCTGCAAACCCAGTACACCCGGTACAGGAAACTTGCCCCTTCGGGTAGTTGTGGAGCACAAAGGACTGGCAGACAGCAGTGGATCATGACCAGGCTGCAGTTTTTAGAGCCCTACACAAAAGGAAGGAGAGTACTTCGAACCTCACCATCACGGTAACTATTTTATTTGTTGAGGACAAATAAGTGTTTCTTGCTTCTTTCATTTACAAAAACATTATTTGCATTCATTTGGTGGTTACAGTGGTAAATATAACAATAACAGAATAATATATATATTATTGTATTATAATTATTGATGTGCTCATCACCTTAATGTTGCAGCTGGTAAAGGAGGAGCTAATTTAAATTACATTATATACTGCTGGGTAGCTTATGAAATTCACCATGGGATCAATAACGCTTTTATCTTAACCTATAATAATACATGATAAAATATGTCTTGATTATATTTTGTAGTGTTCTGAATCTTCTAGAAGTATGTTTTAGCATCTGAATAGAGCCATCACAATGTGTCTACAATGTGCCTCTCACACTTGACCACACCCCGAACTAATGGCACACACATATCAGAGTATTGTTTTGTTATGAATGCTTAGTAAACAGTTTTAAGAAGCCATGGTATTAAATCCAACTAACTGTGAATTTATTTAACATTTTTTAAGGAACGTCTGGTGGCTGCAGAATCACCCCCCGGTGGCACCAGCAGTGGCACCAGCAGTGAAACCTTGACCAGCACCACTGAGGAGTCCTTCCACTCTGATGCTGAGCCCTGCACCCCCCTGGCAGAATCCACCATCTGCACCACACCGGCACCGGCACCGCTCAGAGAGAGGCCAAGCACACTCAGCACTCGAAGGACTCCGGCGAAGCGCAGGATGATGCAGGATTTGCAGGAGGAGTCTGTCGTTGAGGCGTCACAAACATTGCTGGAGGGGATAACAAACACTCTGGCACAGTTGGCCCCGAGTGGACTTGATGACGTACTCGCGGCCCATTCCAAAGTGTTTGAACACAGACTGCGGCTGTTGCCACCTCATCAGATTAGACCCTTCCTGAATCACGTGGAAAATGCCTTCTTCGAGTACTTAGAGGGAAATCAAACCTCTAGTCATTTCACTTGTCTCTAGACATTTCACTTGTCTTGTCTTCACATGTGACTCGTTTTTTTAAAGTTCACTCATTTTTAAAGATGTGGCTAATTCTTTTTACAGACAGTTGTGGCAATAACATTTTTTTTTTGTATTGCATAGTATTTTTATTGTATTGTATTTTTGTTGATTGTTTACTTTTTGTATTATTATTGTTTATTTTGATAATAAACCACTTTCTACCGATACTGCAAAATGCAAAACTTTATTTCGTACCTTCATACTACAGCCATTAGATAACACAACATAGAATGATTTATTTCTGCTTCAGAGAGCTGAAGTGGAGGAGCTGATTTAAATTACATTATATACTGCTGGGTAGCTTAGGAAATTCACCATGGGATCAATCACATTTTATCTTAACCTATAATAATACATGATAAAATATGTCTTGATTATATTTTGTAGTGTTCTGAATCTTCAAAGTTAACTGAAGTTATCAAATAAATGTAGCGCAGTATAAAGTACACTGAATGGGAGTGGAGCAGTAATATAAAATTGCAGGATTAGTCTCAAGTACTTCAACATTGTCCTTAAGTACAGTGTCTAAGTAAATGAGATACTGTCTACCGCTGTTCTTTGTTCAAGATTGAAATGTAAATGTGCAAGACGGTTTTCTGCCCCTCTATTCACATATAGCCTTTCATACGTGATGGTTTCTTCATACTCGAACTGCTGTGGAGCAGAAGTATAAAGTTGCAGGATTAGTCTCAAGTACTTCAACATTCTCCTTAAGTACAGTGTCTAAGTACATGAGATACTGTCTACCGCTGTTCATTTACCTATTGTGAGGCGCCTCGGATAAAAGCATCACATGGAAATGTAAATTTAGCAAGAAGTGGCCATTATTACATTACTACATTGCTGACTCTAATAAACTACACACCCGCCAGAACACTGCGATCATCAGATGCAGGTCTTTTAACTGTGATTTATAGTATGTCTGCACTTTATGTGCTCATTTCATCATTCATGTATTTTATATTCTACTAAAACTGAATCAAACCATAAACAAGGTGGCCTGTTGGGATTACAATATATATATATATATATATATATATATATATATATATATATATATATAATATATCTGCATTATTTTATCCCACTTTATGCTTTGCTCTTGCTGCTTGTTTTACACTGATTTTATGTCTTATTTTGTACTGATGTAAAGCACTTTGAACTGCAATCCCCTGTATGAAAGGTGCTATACAAATAAAGTTATTATTATTATTCAGATGGATGTTTCTGCCCCTCTGTTCATTCTCCCATTATCCTCCTCAATCTGCCTAGAAGTATTTTAATGTTGTAGCTGTTACTATAACCAATACTAATGCTAGGGCTGCAACTGACAGTTATGTAGGCACATTGTTATTGTTTCTTATCGCTGTGTGATTAAAAGAATAAACACAAATAGCAGGATAGGCAATGCAAAACTTTATTTCGTACCTTCATACACACATAACACAACATTAGAATGAGCTTTTATCAACAGAGCGGGCAGAACCCAAATCTGCATTCAAAGAATACACTTTACCAAAGCTTGAGGAAAATATCACAACACAACCCCTTTATGAGCCAAACCACCATGAGAGAAAAAGATGGTGCTATATCTTATCCCACTGAAAAGGCACTGCACCGATACCGTTAAAATATTGGCATAGTTCATCCCTGTGCTGCTTGGCTCGAGCTGGATTATTGGTGGTGGGTGGCAGGGTGGCTTGCCGTAGGTCAGGGTCTTGTCTCCAGCTTCCTGGGACAGTGCCATGATCGGGTCCTTCCTGGTCAACAACTCCCGCCATGTATGCGCTACAGTTCTCTGTGCGCAGGAAGTTGTGCCAAGCCAAAACAATGGCCTCCACTTTGGCAGTGTCTTGAATGTTTATGGTGGCTAGGAAGACCCGAAAACGGTTGGCTAGGATGCCAAAGGCATTTTCTACCACCCTCCGAGCCCGCGACAGCCTGTAGTTGAAGATGCATTGCTCTACAGCTAGCCTGCGGTTCGGATAGGGCTTCATGAGGTACTCTTTCAGGGGAAATACCTCATCTGCCACAATATGGTAACAAACCGCCTGGTCAGAAGCAGGAAGTGGTGCAGGTGCAGGGATGTTGCATGTCCTGTTCTCCAAGGCATCCTGCAGTGAGCATCCACCAAACACACCACCATCTGAAATCCTCCCATTACAACCTACATCTACATACAAGAACTTGTAGTTGCTGTCGACCAGTGCCATTAGCACTATGGAAAATGTATGTTTGTAGTTGAAGTAGGTTGATCCAGTTCCTGGAGGGGGGCGGGTGTTGATGTGTTTCCCATCCAGGGCACCTAGGCAGTTTGGGAAGTCTCACTGAGCCTGGAATCCATCAGCTACTTGCTGCCACTCTTCCACTGTGTCTGGGCACTGAAAAACAAAACATATATTTTTTAAGAGCCATGTTTCATATGGCAAACCAAACATTTGCTGTTCAAATGCCTAGAGACCTCACTGTATTACATACAGTTTGCACAGTAAAACTAGTAAGCATCCACACTATACCTTCAGGTATTTCTCTTTTAACACCTCGTAAATGGCTGGACAGGTCTCAGGAACGAATTGCCGGATGGTTGACACTCCCACTCGGAACTGGTAGGAAAGGCTCCTGAAGCTTTCCCCTGCAAATATTAACAAACACATAACTGAGTTATCTACACAAGCAGCTGAACAAAACACTCATTAGCTACAAAACTACAGGTTATAGTTTACAAGATAGTTGATTACTTTAGCTACTATGAAGATTCAGACAAATGATACAAAATATAATAATGAAATATTTGAACATGCATTATTATAGGAAGAAGATAACGCTTTATTGATCCCTTGGTAAATACTCAAGCAACCAAGCGGTACTTTGGTACTTTGGTTTTGTACTTACACTAGTACATCTACATTACACTGCGGTATTACTACTAAAGCACAATACACAATAATATACAAAGTGCTGCAATTTTAAATATAGCAACATCTTTAGCTTGCATACCTGTTGCCAAAAATCGCAGCGTAACCATCAGACGTGTCCCCACGGAGATACAATCCCGGTAGTTGGTGTTTTCCCTCTGGATGATTGGAGTGATGAGTTCCTCCAACATGTGGAACTGAACAGGAAAAAGCCGAGCAAAATTTCTGAAATCTGGCATTTCATTTAACTCCAGCTCTCGACACAGGTCCGGGAAAGCCCCATGAGCTTCTCGCTGTAGTATCCATGATTTCACCCATTTAGTGCGGTTTCTCCTAATTCTTCGCTTCTGCCTCTTGAGATACTGTTTCTTGAGAATGTCTTGCACAAGCAACACTCCAATGGCTGATAGCCCCAGTGCCGCACGAAACATGTTTTCGATGGACGAGAGTGAAAATGGAACGCACACGCTATTTGTTGTTTGTTTATATCACAGTCTGTTCTTCTTCTCTGTCTTCCGGTTGTTGCCTATTTTGAATGACGAATACACACTACCGCCGCCTGCTGGTAAGGAGAGTTATTGCCACTCACGCATGCGCAGTTCGTACGTGCTCGGCTGAAGTCTTTGCGGTGTGTTCCAGTGCGACACATGGCCAGACGCAGGAGAACTCGCCGACGCAACAGTCGGCGTCGGCGTCGGCAAGTTCTCTGGTGACTGCCTGGTGTGTCTGGGCCTTAACTCAAAAACTGAGTAGCCAATGGGGACGCACCCCTGAAAGTCCCGCCCACCTGGGAGGTTTGTGTCAGAATCTCAAACAAAAAGTGAAGGAGCGAGAGCAAAAGTCTGATCATTGAGAAAGAAGAAACAAGAACTGCAAACAAAAAGCCTATGTTAAAACAAAGAAAAAATACTTATAGTTTACATGATTACACAAATGATTTGTTTGCAACTTTTATAGTTTTATTTTTGAAATTTATTTTACTTTGCTTGACTCAGTTTTTTTTTCTTTTAAACTCATAGTTTTGCTTTATTCTGAGAAAGTGTTGCTTTATCTTTATGATACAAAACTAATCCCATAGACAGGCAGGTAGGCCATCCAGTTATTTTAGCCGGGCCGGCTAAAATGATTGGTCGTGCTTTTTACAGTACTACGGCTTCCACAGATGACATATTTTAATGGATTTTTTGTCAAAGCACTTAAGATATTCATTGCTATCGGGATGTTAAGAGCATTCCATGGAATATAACAAAAAGTGTATCTCGAGCCGGTTTCTCAAACTTACCTACCCTACCTTTAAAGGTCCCCTATAATACTGTTTTTCATGAATATATTATAGGTCTCAGATATATACAAAACATGTGTTTGAAGTGTTTGGCTTGAAATACCAAACAGATCATGCATTGTAGAATCCCATAAACCCCTCTATTTCAGCCCTGTTTCAAAAGTGCTGATTCTCTGTCTGTTACTTTAGATGAAAATAAGGAGCCACTCCCCACGCCCCTCTGAGAGATATTTGGTTAAAAAGAACACAATGGTTAAACCTAATTAGGAGGAGATTCAGGTGATAAGGTGGGCGGGTGTTACCTTGGTTGGTTATTGGCAGTGGCGAGCCGTGAGCTTTATACCTAGGCCCTCTGACCCCCACCCCTTCCCTCGAAAAAAAGAAAAAAAAAGAGTTATTACGTCACAGCGTATACTTCAGCGGAATATCAAAACAACGGCCCAGGGTGCAAAACGCATCAATGACAGCGACCCTCTACCACACAAAACAACACCTGTGAACCCAATTTGTGTTCTTTGACATTGAAAATGATATTGCATTGTGTTTGTTACTTTCGTTGCAGTTGTATGTCTTAAGTGTAAATTGGCATGCTTTTATTTTGAAGGCGAGTTCACGCTGTTGACAGGAAGTTGTTGTTGCTATGGAAACAAGAAAAGTTTCACAGCGGGCGGAACTTGTCATCTAGTCCGCGATAATAAAACCCACCCATTTAGAGGGAAGATATGATTGGTCAATTGTACTGTCATTTGACATTACTCTCTCGTTCAGTTACTATAGCGGGCCCTCTGTGAATCGCAGAGAGGGCCAGGTGAGCTTCTTTCATGTAACCCACATTCAAACAGAGACTGAACAGGCAGATTCGAAGGATTTATTTATTTGGAAATGTTATTTTATTAAATCAAGTTTTTTTCGGTAAAACTAATGAAAAATATAACAAAAATAATATTAAAAACATATATATTTAAAAAAAATATTATTTTTTTTAATGTTTTTATATATTATTTTTTGGAATATCTTAGGCCCTCACAGAGGGCCTAGAGGGCCCTGACGGCTCGCCACTGGTTATTGGTCTCTCACTATTACTACATTATATCTCAATAGCAAATTGTTATTTGCAGGGAACTTAATGATACTAATAATATACAAGTTATACAAGCTGAAAGGGAGAAAGCGTGGAGTTGAATGAATCTTTTATTCAACTCTTTTATTCAAAGAGTTCCTTTTGACAAGATTAAATTATTAGAGATCCAACTATTTATTTGAAAGGATTTCTGCTGTGGGCTTCTTTTATAATTTCCCCGAGAACTCCTGGATTTAACTGTCTCTGTATTCACTTTACGTTAATTCAGGCATTGTGACAAGATGTCCTCTCGAACTGAAGATGAAGAGAAGGAAAGAAGGAGAGGGGTGGTACGGGAAGATAAGCTACCAGGACTTTGAAGAAGAGCTAAAAGACCTTGCAGGTGTGGAGAAGAAGATTAGAGAAGGTACAGTATACACTGTTTTACTATCAATGTCACTATCCAAGCCAAGTATTGATGAAGATTGAAGGCAGTTTTATTTTCTGTAATAATCACATCCATCCTTAGATATGATTATACATCGTGTCTTCTCTCTTCAGCTCAGAATAAAATAGCCGGGCCCGGGTCTGAGATCAGTCATGAACTCATCAGTCTGGAGATCGCCTCTCCTAATGTTCCCGACCTGACGCTCATTGACCTGCCCGGCATCACCAGGGTGGCTGTAAAGGGACAAAAAGAAAACATTGAAAATCAGGTATGCTCGACCATACTTTGGTCCAGAGACAACTATGGTACTCAAAGATGAATCCTCAAATGACTTTGGTGTTCCCAGAGTGCTCTGATGCCAAAAACACTTAACAGGTTACATGTCTAATTCCCCAACACATCAGTTCATGGCAGAAGACCCCAGAAGTGGAAGCATTTTCTCCCATGTTATTTGTTGTGGACAACTCAAATGACAAGTACCACTCATCACAATGTTGTTTACATCTGGGCAAATTGGCTTCATTCGAATTATGTTCTATCATAGAAATACACACAAATACAATTGATTTAACAAGTTGTAACCAAACTGTAACACATACATAGTGAACAACTATAATATTGGCTCATTAAATAAATCAATATTACGGATTCTGTTAAGGTAGAAACATGTGTACAGTCAATTTAAATGAAAATGGTACTGCTTCTTCACAATGTGATAATACTACAGTGGTTGGCAGGTTTTTGTCATTTGTAACCTGTAGCCATACAAGTTGGCCGAAGAAGTAATGCTGGGTGGGGAGTGGGACATTACTGTAGGTAGGTAATAAGATATTTACCTGGATCAGTTGAATCAAAGCATAGTTACAGCATAGTTTTTGACGATAAAAATGTGCTTTCCCCCTTCACCACTGGGTATAAAGGTCCTCCACGAATGGCAGCTCCTTCCTGGTTATGTACTGTGCACTTTTCACCTGTAAAGTCTTACAATTAAATGGGTGCAACTGCCATACCAGGATGTGATGCAGCAACCCTGTCTCCTAGAAATTACGTTCCCACAAAACTAAACTGCATTCTCAAATACGTTTCGCAAGAAACGTATTTCCTTCCACGTTACGTTTGTTATGAACATATCTTAAATACGTTTATTTTCTACATATCTTCTAGAAACCTATTTTCTCTCACATGACGTTTGTTATGAACGTATCTTAAATACGTTTGCTTTCTACCTATATTTGCCATTTCTTTTCTAGCTTATAATAATGATAATAGTCATTTATTAATATCATTTTAGAGCAAACTTATTTTCGCGCTGGCTGGCGGCTGACTTTTCAGTTGACCAAATCCGTTATTATGCTGGTTAATGGTTAATAATCACAATATTGTTTGTAGTCGTTTCATACAGCATTCTCAATTACGTTTAACAAGAAACGTCTTTTGTCCCACGTTACGTTTGTTCTGAACATATCTTAAATACGTTTATTTTCTACATATCTTCTAGAAACCTATTTTCTCTCACATGACGTTTGTTATGAACGTATCTTAAATACGTTTGCTTTCTACCTATATTTGCCATTTCTTTTCTAGCTTATAATAATGATAATAGTCATTTATTAATATCATTTTAGAGCACACATTTGAAATCGACGATCGGGCTTGATATCCTATGGTTAAATTAAAATCAGTAGGCGAGGCTGTAATTTCGCCAGCTGCGAGGCAGAAAATAATAGTTTTAACATGCCAAAAAGCTGCTGTGTCGTTTATTGCACCTCAAACATTAAAAAAAATCCAGAGTTACGTGTTTCTGCACTTCCTCTAAGAAGAAAGGACAGTATACAACAGAAGAGCTCTGTGGCTTCAGGCTGATCGCCGTTCAAATGACAGCTGGTTTCCCCAAAAGTGGGCAGGGCTGTAAAGTGACGTAGAAAAGATCCTCAGCTCGCTGATTGGATGTTTTAGCCGCAATGCACGTCGGGATATGGTGTTAATGCGATATGAAATCCGAAAAAACAATCAGAGTTTAGGAT